CACACACACACACACACACACACACACACACACACACACACGGGGTTAACTAATCGTCATATCGTCTGCAGGCCTTCTTTTCCTCCATCACAGACATGTGTGAGAACGGTGGGAAGCGGCCGGTGTCAGAGGTCAGCGTGGGCTTCACCAAGGAGCAGGCCGACACCATTCGACGTATCCGCAACAGCAAGGACTCATGGGACATGTTGGGCGTGAAACCTGGTGCCACACGGTGAGTAAACGCTGTCAGAGATTGATTTCAGGGTTCATGCGGATCCTTAAAAAAAGTCTTAAAAGGCACGGACTTAATGAATCTGAAATAAAGCCTTAATTAGCCTTAAAATGTCTTAAATCAATCTTTCAGAGATCGTAAAAATGTTGTAATTTTTCTCAAATATTAAAAGAGTTGGTAATATTAGTTTATTATTTAAAATAATTTACTGAATGCCTCTCAGCTAGCTGTTTTGTGTTCAAATTAGCATTTGGGTAAAATTGTTGCCATTTTTTTATGTTTATCGTGAAGTTGGTCTTAAAGTCATTACAGAGGTCCTAAAAAATCTTAAAATGAACTTGCCTTAAGCTGTAGGAAGCCTGGATTTGTTAAACCTGTGGCTGTTTAGTTGAGTTCCCACATGTTTGTTTTCAGGGAGGAAGTGAACAAGGCGTACAGGAAGTTGGCGGTCCTGCTGCACCCGGACAAGTGTGTGGCGCCAGGCAGCGAGGACGCCTTCAAGGCGGTGGTGAACGCTCGCACGTCACTGCTGAAGAACATTAAATAACTGAGAGGAGAATGCACGCACGGACTGAAGARCCACAGTGTTTGTTATTTTATTTATTCAGCGTTTACGTCTCGTGTGCCATGTTGTTCATGTTTACCAACCCGTCAAATATATTTATTCATCTGCTGAGTGTTTGGAGGAAGATGAGAGCAACAGGATGAAAATTTTCAACTATGACTAAATAAGGTGAGAGCTGTTTGATTTGTTAGCATCAGTCACTTCCTGTCTGATATTAATCAATCAGCATCTCTTTAGTATCACATTTTAAAAGTCTGTTTTTAAGTATTAAGTATTCTTAAGTAATTATAATTTTGCAGTCAAAACTTTTAGACACATTTTAAGTATTTAAATGTATATGTGTCAAGTATCGTAAATTTAAGTAAATGTATAAAGAATGTATGTTTTGACCAGAACGTAAAAGAAAATTATTTAGATTAAATCACTAAATTTAGACTTTTGGCTATGAATTTGTGTTTAAATTCTTTAAATTAGATAAATTGGAAAAAGGTTAAAAAAAAATTCAAAAGAAAAGGAATTTTTTATTTACCAATTTATTAGGGAATTTCTGCATTTTTTTGCAAATCGTAAATGTGGGTAAAAAATGTTAAATCTAAATGTTATTTTCCTGTTGCTCTCATCTGTTTTTGTAGCYTTTTTTTTCTTTGTGGAGGTATCGTGTCAAAAGTTCATTTGTTTTCACAGAGAAATACGTCCCGACTCAATGAGCTGAACAGCTTTAGTTTCTGAGATTAAGGTCGTGTTCACACCTGCACTGTTTAGTCCGATTTAATCGAACTCTAGTTCGTTTGCCTGGAAAGTCCGATTCATTTGGGGAGGTGTGAACACGTAATCGAACTCTTATTCGGACCAAAAAAGCGAACTCTGGTCCGCCTGAAAACCTAGGTCTCAGTTCGATTGAAACGAACTCTGGTGCAGTTCGATTGCATGTGTGAACGCTAAGCGGGCCAGAGACCGCTCCAAAAGCAGGAAGCGGATTATACCGCATGACATTCTGAGTAATAACAGTAATAAATTTACTTATATGGTGTAAATACCTCGCTGGACGACTGTTTTAAGGTGGACATCATGACTGTGGAGCTGGACGCACTCCTGCTCGATGTTGACCAGCTTCATGGAGCTTCCTCAGCCGCCTTGTGTGCAAAACAATAATCTCCGTGGTTCCGCCTCATCTTCCTCTCATGCTGAGCTCATTGTTGAAGACTACTGTATATTTTTAGCACATTTGCCAAAAACAAAAAATAAACCCAATAACTTATAAAATCTAATGTTACTATTGTTTGTTTACATTTTGTGAAGAAAGAAGTTGTGCACCATGTCTTCTTCTGAGGTTTTCTTATTGATTTTTTTAGTGGTTCTTTGTGCAGCGCCCCCACAGGTGAGGGCTGGAACAGGTTG